TCCACACTTAGGATCAACATGTGTTTAGAGTATTTGGCTGATATACATTTACACATAAGCCACTTTGTTAAGCTATCATTTGTGGCCAGGTCACTTCTGAAAAAGAGCAGTATAGATCAGTGGGCCTTACCTGGCAAAATAAAAACGTATAGTTTAGTTTAGTTAGCGCAGCGCAAGTAACTACCAACTATTCAACACTGCCCACCACCAGTGAAAGGAAACCATGTTCTAAAAACATAAGACTTCCTTATCACTGTTATAGTTAAGGCAAATGTTATAAATGCATGCTCCGATTCAGAGTTTACCACTGTTGTGACATTTTAGGCCATATTTAAGTGTCACTCTCTGCCCTTACAATGAGATTATCGTACAATACTTCGACCCAATTAAAACTTTAAATAAAGTTGCTTTCAAATAATTAATGCGTAGTTCTCCTTGAAAAAGTGTCAAGTCAAATATGTTGAACGCACCAGTAAAGTGTGTTCATGCAACGACCGTCAACAAATGCCAGCCGAAAGAGTGAAACCAAAGACCACATTCATGTAGTGCAAAATTATACCATTTGCGGTTGTAATGTACGGGTACAAAGCTAAGAACTGGTGTACTGCGCTGGACTTTCACACCGGGAAATGACAGATACTGGCTCTATGGAAGTATTATATAATTTTTACAACAGAATTTGTGTTCCTGCGCGAAGAAGCAGAGATGCAATGCTTCGAATTGCATTGAGAGACAGAAACAGGAACACTTGGGAGTAGAAAACACATGGGAGGCTAAAGGCACAAGTTTAACTGTTAAAAAAGGAAGTAGCCTTGGGCATCTCTTGGATGATGGCAGATGGTCAAGAAAAGTAAAATAATGGCAGCCAATGAATAGAACGCGTCCGAGAGAGTACGTCAACAAAAGAGATCAGGAGATGGAGCGATGAAATCAATGCGTGTGCAGGTTCTGGGAGGATTGTTGCATTGCATTACTGGGAGAGATGGCAACAGCTTGGCAAGACCTTAATCCAACAGTGGATTGATAATGGCTGATGACGAGGATGATTGTTAATATAACGTGTTAAACATTCATGTACAGTTACACGTGCCTGGCTCTGCAAAAGCGCAATCAATATGCGATCATGCATGCACACGCATGCGTAGTTACCGTGACACACATCCCTGTGAAGTCACACATGTCCAGCTCAGATCTTTAACGTACAACTTCCCAATAGAAACTAAAGGGAACGGCATCTCGATAGACGACTGTCTCGTCTCTCCTCCTCCTGACTCATGTCATTCAGAAGACAACTATCGGACAGGAACGCGTTTTGGAAACTACGTATATTAGGACAACCGACAACGCTTTGTACACATGTCATGTACATCTTAAAGGTTTGCAAAACACCTCACTGTATTTAGCACACATCTTGGCAACATCCGTTTCTGCATTTCCTCTTAAGTTTTACCGTAAAGCCTATGAAACTTCAATAGTTCTGTTACTGTTAAATAACTGAAGTAACATTTGGATCGATATTTGCCTTTTCACAACCGTTTCACGCCTACGCTTTGTGCTCTTCCCGTGTTCCACATCATGTTTTTGCACGCAAGTCGATTTCCTGCATGCCACCACGCTCCTGCGCCCAAGGTGATATTTTGAGAGGGACATAACAAATTACAGTTTACTCACAATATTCACCTTTACTAGAGGATTTAATCATCAAGAGCCATGGTCAATCCATTGCTGGATGCAGGCCGCCACCACCTCTCACTAACCTGCGATGTAATAATCCACCTGCACATGAACGGATTTTAACTTTCTAATTCCTTCCCATATTATTTCCCAAATTCGTATAAACCTTGCTCAATTCAGGAAAACATACTATTGCTAAATTTAAACTATAAATTTTTTATTTTTATTTTTACCAGGTAAGGCTCTCCGAGCTATATAACTCTTTTTCATTTGTGACAAACTTCCACCGTGGAATATCTAATGTGTGCATGATGCAAATACACTTTACAGGTAGTGCTACAACACATGTGTGCATGATGCAAATACACTTTACAGGTAGTGCTACAACACAGTATATTAGAACTGGCAATACCAATCCATGACCCTCTTTAACGCTGGGCACACATTGGGGTGATTAGGGACAGCGATTGCTGGGATTTATAAAATATAAAACTGCTTGTTTTTTATGAAACGAGTAGACATTCACTGACACAAAGCAACATTCACAGCAGTAATTAAACTTAAGCAAAATAATGAGAAAAATACTCTAAGAAAATCGTCTCAATTTGATATTTTCACGATCAACACTTACACTCAAAGTCTCTCCCCCCCTGTGCATTCAGTGGTGGAAATAAAACATTGCTCCGATGGGGGTCCTGTATCTCCTATAGCAACCACCACTGTTCAATTACCACAAAGTGGTGGCATTTTAGTCACCCCAAAGAGCGCGCCGACTCGGTTAACGCCGCGTCTCATTATTGCTCCACGCACGCGGGGCGGGGGGGCACAATGGACAAGGGAAATATATTTGGGGCACCGTCGAAGCAACGTGGAAATTCCACGAGCGCTCACGCCCAGTGGAGATGAACCAAAGGGCGCTGTTTGGTTTTGTGGCATCAACGACGACGCGGAGACGTCGCGATTCAGTCACAAACAGAACGAGTGAGGGGGTGTTGGTGAAGACCACGATTGCTGTTCGGTTAGTTATCGATTAATAGAGGTTGTGATTATTAGTAACGATTGATGTTGTTATTATTTTGGTGCCATGGCTGTTATTTTTGTCCGTTATTCGTGACTGCATTCGCTAATGATCGTCACTCTTGAGCGATTGTTTGTTTATTAGTGATGGTATGTGATTATGAATTGCATATTTTAGTTATTGTTATAATCTTTGGTACAGTCAAATGTCGGTGACTGATCGTGATTATAAATGGTTATCGGTGTCACTGCTGTCATCATTGACAGTGTTGGAATCTCTGTTGCCATTATTTCGCCTGCATTTGATGTGGAAATTGAAGCAGTCATCCAATCTCTCAAAGCAAGGCAATGATAAAAAAAACCCACTATATTATCAACCCATTTATTAAAGACGGACTGCTAAAATTAGGTTTTCCAGAGTGCGCTAAAACACAAATCATAAGAGGAGGCACGCTCAACCAAGGTTATTTGCAACAAAAGGAAACATGCAACTTAGAAAGTTAAATTATGGGTTCAAACGTAAATGTTTTCCATGTTATACTTTCTGATGAGCCATTTTAACAGGCAGTGAGAATTAAATACGATACATTATTTTCAGAACTTTACAGATAAGGCTGAAAAGATGGACCCAAGTTAAGAATAACACGAGCAGTGCACAAGTTTGCAGGACAAAATAAAACATTGGTGTTACGCGAGTGATGAAATCGTTGTTTAGTGACCGTCACCACCAACCTCACCAGCATCATAACACAGTCGCAGTAGTAGATGGATTAATGGTCACCATCAATACGATTGTCAGTACATCTTAGTGATCACACAGTTGCAAATTGTCACCACCATCATCATCACCACTAGCAGCATCACCTCCACAACCATAATCACCACCAACACCACGATCACCACCATCTCCACCACAATCACCACCATTATTACAACTACCACAATCACTACCACAAGCACCACCCCGAGGATGACAACCACCATAATCACCACCAACACCACTTATAAATGATACCCTCCTGGCATTTGATTAAACAAATACAGTTGACCCTCACCGCCACCACCTCCACCGCCCTCACCACCCTCACCACCGCCACCCTCACCCACCACCGCCACCCTCACCCGCCACCGCCACCCTCACCCGCCACCGCCACCCTCACCCACCACCGCCACCCTCACCCACCACCGCCACCCTCACCCACCACCGCCACCCTCACCCACCACCGCCACCCTCACCACCTGCACCACCGCCACCCTCACCACCTGCACCACCGCCACCCTCACCACCTGCACCACCGCCACCCTCACCACCTGCACCACCGCCACCCTCACCACCTGCACCACCGCCACCCTCACCACCTGCACCACCGCCACCCTCACCACCTGCACCACCGCCACCCTCACCACCTGCACCACCGCCACCCTCACCACCTGCACCACCGCCACCCTCACCACCTGCACCACCGCCACCCTCACCACCTGCACCACCGCCACCACCTCCACCACCCTCACCACCTCCACCACCCTCACCACCTCCACCACCCTCACCACCTCCACCACCCTCACCACCTCCACCACCCTCACCACCTCCACCACCCTCACCACCTCCACCACCCTCACCACCTCCACCACCCTCACCACCTCCACCCTCACCACCTCCACCCTCACCACCTCCACCCTCACCACCTCCACCCTCACCACCTCCACCCTCACCACCTCCACCCTCACCACCTCCACCCCCACCACCTCCACCCCCACCACCTCCACCCTCATCACCTCCACCCTCATCACCTCCACCCTCACCACCTCCACCCTCACCACCTCCACCCCCACCACCTCCACCACCACCACCCTTACCACCACCACCCTCACCACCTCCACCCTCACCACCTCCACCCTCACCACCTCCACCCTCACCACCTCCACCCTCACCACCTCCACCCTCACCACCTCCACCCTCACCACCTCCACCCTCACCACCTCCACCCTCACCACCTCCACCCCCACCACCTCCACCCTCACCACCTCCACCCTCACCACCTCCACCCCCACCACCACCCTCACCACCACCACCCTCACCACCTCCACTCTCACCACCTCCACCCTCACCACCTCCACCCTCACCACCTCCACCCCCACCACCACCACCACCCTCACCACCACCACCCTAACCACCTCCACCACCACCCTCCTCACCACCTCCACCACCATCCTCATCACCTCCAACACCCTTACCACCTCCACCACACTCACCACTTCCACCACTTCTCACCAGGGGCTCGCTTGCGTCCCGCGCTCTCCCCACGTACCTGCAGTGCGAGTGCTCGTCGTGCATGCGTTCCTTGCCCTCCTTGAAGAGGTTCACAGCCTGCTTGCTCTTGCTCAGCAGGTTGTCGATGAACACCCTGAAGAACTCGTTGTCGCCCAGCGCGGCCATGCGGTCGTCGTGCCGTGCGAGCACAAGGCGCAGGTGCTGGTACGTGTCCGGCAAGATGTCCAGCATGTACGGGGGGCTGTTCTTCAGCTGCACCTTGGGGTTTTGGCAGTAGCGCACCACCTTGTCCATCAGCTTCCACGTCTTCTCCACCAGCCGCTTGTCCACCGCCTGCTTGGGCGGCCCCACGGCGTCGTGGAACGCGTCCATCATGAGTCCGAAGATGCGCTCCTTGAGGTGCGGGCGCTGCGGCCTGCTGCTGGGGCCCGTCGCCATGTTCGCCTCTCTCCGTAGTTTGTGTGCGGCCTCCCGCGCCTCCCCTCCGCGCCCCTCCTTATATAGGGATCACCGCCCCGGTGGAGTGACGTCATCACGCACGTGTCGTCAACACGCACGCCGGGCACGTTGCGATCGCTCGCCCACGTTTCGACGATGCGGCCCATTCGTCGACGTCATCGCGTTCACGCAGAGGCACGACATGCCGACGTAGTCGCGTCATCACGCACGCACGTCTCGCGAGCCTTTCGTACGTCATCACGTAAGTGTCGTCACCGCGCACGCCGGGGCACGTCGCGATCGCTCGCCAACGTTCCGACGATGCAACCCATTCGTCGCGTCATCGCGTTCACGCAGCGTCGCGACGTGCCGACGTTTCACGTCATCACGCACGCAACGACGTCCCGCGAACCTTTCCTACGTCATCACGCATATGCGTCATTCCCTTGTGTGTTCAGACCGACTGAAGAATTCCAGAACAAAAGTAAATGTTAAATATTGTTTACTTCAAGTAACAAATAAAATATTCAACTCATAAACTTTATATAACTCAAATAAAGTATTTTGCAAAAGAAGAAAAATGTCGCACTTCTTTCTGTCACAGACACGACCTGATTTTCAACAGAAATCCCCTTTCAATAATATTTGCCAACTTTTATTTCGATTTAAAGCTTTCGTGACTTCAAGGATTCATCTTCTTTGGTTCTTTCGGTAAAGTCACGTAGAATGAGAATAAAATAATAAATTGATAAAATAAAATAACGCAATAAAATTCTCACGACGTTTCGGCCACAACACAAGCGGCCCCAAATAAGCGTTCAAACCCTGACACAATGGTGTCAAATGTGTGGCGGCGCTCACATTACTGATGATGTCTTATCGGCGAACGTGCCCCCCTCCCCTGTGAGAATGAATGAAGACTGCTTTGAATCGTAAAACAGCATCCCAACTTCCACTCACGGCAGGAGCCACTGGGCCCCATCTCCTCCAGCGGCCAGATCTCCCCTTTTTAAAGTGATTTGTTTACCTTAATTATATTCTTTGGTTCTTTCGGTCATGTCACGTACATAGAAAATAATTAAGTGAATAAAAATAATTTAAAAAAAAAACCACTGATGTAGACTCGAGCCTGGTTCTTAATCGGAGTGAGTGTACTGGCAGTCTATAATGTAGACTGTAGCCGGTTATTAAGCTGAGTGAGTGTACTGGCAGTCTATAATGTAGACTGTAGCCTGGTTATTAAGCTGAGTGAGTGTACTGGCAGTCTATAATGTAGACTGTAGCCTGGTTATTAAGCTGAGTGAGTGTACTGGCAGTCTATAATGTAGACTGTAGCTGGTTATTAAGCTGAGTGAGTGTACTGGCAGTCTATAATGTAGACTGTAGCCTGGTTATTAAGCTGAGTGAGTGTACTGGCAGTCTATAATGTAGACTGTAGCCTGGTTATTAAGCTGAGTGAGTGTGCTGGCAGTCTATAATGTAGAATGTATCCTGGTTAAGCTGAATGAGTGTACTGGCAGTCTATAATGTAGAATGTATCCTGGTTATTAAGCTGAGTGAGTGTACTGGCAGTCTATAATGTAGACTGTAGCCTGGTTATTAAGCTGAGTAAGTGTACTGGCAGTCTATAATGTAGACTGTAGCCTGGTTATTAACCTGAGTGAGTGTACTGGCAGTCTATAATGTAGACTGTAGCCTGGTTATTAAGCTGAGTGAGTGTACTGGCAGTCTATAATGTAGACTTTAGCCTGGTTATTAAGCTGAGTGTGTGTACTGGCAGTCTATAATGTAGACTGTAGCTGGTTATTAAGCTGAGTGAATGTACTGGCAGTCTATAATGTAGACTGTAGCTGGTTATTAAGCTGAGTGAGTGTACTGGCAGTCTATAATGTAGACTGTAGCCTGGTTATTAACCTGAGTGAGTGTACTGGCAGTCTATAATGTGGACTGTATCCTGGTTATTAAGCTGAGTGAGTGTATTGGCAGTCTATAATGTAGACTTTAGCCTGGTTATTAACCTGAGTGAGTGTACTGGCAGTCTATAATGTAGACTGTATCCTGGTTATTAAGCTGAGTGAGTGTATTGGCAGTCTATGATGTAGACTGTAGCCTGGTTATTAAGCTGAGTGAGTGTACTGGCAGTCTATAATGTAGACTGTAGCCTGGTTATTAACCTGAATGAGTGTACTGGCAGTCTATAATGTAGAATGTATCTTGGTTATTAAGCTGAGTGAGTGTACTGGCAGTCTATAATGTAGACTTTAGCCTGGTTATTAACCTGAGTGAGTGTACTGGCAGTCTATAATGTAAACTGTAGCCTGGTTATTAACCTCGGTGAGTGTACTGACAGTCTATAATGTAGACTGTAGCCTGGTTATTAACCTCGGTGAGTGTACTGACAGTCTATAATGTAGACTGCAGCCTGGTTTTTAAGCTGGTGAGCGTATTGGCAGTCTATGATGTAGACTGTCGCAATGGTTATAAAACTGAGCACTGGCAGTCTATAATATAATCTATAATGGAGAGATGGGCTGTGCCCATGCACTGCTATGCCCATCTCTAAACCTTTATAAACAGTTTGTCTTTCGAGGCTAAACCCCCCTTTCCCTGATGTTGCGATCGAAACGTCGTGGTTTTTGTTTTAATTTTATTGCTGAAAGAACCAGAATAAGTCTACATTATAGACTGCCAATACACTCGCCAAACGTAATAACCAAACCAGGCTACAGTCTACATTATAGACTGCCAGTACACTCACCCAGCTTAATAACCAGGCTACAGTCTACATTATAGACTGCCAGTACACTCGCCAAACTTAATAACCAAACCAGGCTAGTCTACATTATAGACTGCCAGTACACTCACCCAGCTTAATAACCAGGCTACAGTCTACATTATAGACTGCCAGTACACTTACCCAGCTTAATAACCAAGCTAAAGTCTACATTATAGACTACCAGTACACTTACCCAGCTTAATAACCAGGCTACAGTCTACATTATAGACTGTCAGTACACTCACCCAGCTTAATAACCAGGCTACAGTCTATATTATAGACTGTCAGTACACTCACTCCCATTAAGAACCAGGCTACAGTTTACATTAGTGCTTTTTACCATTTTTATTCACTTTATTTTTATTATTATTTTTCTATCTACGTGACTTTACCGAAAGAACCAAAGAATATTAATTCCTGTAGTCACGAAAGTTTTAAGTAAAAAAATTACCTTAATTATACTTTGCACTCTTATCGTATTTTTGCATTATTCGTTGTTGTCACATTCTAACCTGCCCCCTACTGGACATCTGTAAAAAAATTGCTTTATAGCTCATCAGATTCCTCCAGTCTATTCTGAAACCCATGTTAAATACGCAAGCCGTGTTTTTATTTTTTTGTTGGTTGTGGTTGCACCCGATTCAAGAGCCGAATGGCTCACAGGGCTATACCAAAATAAATAAAACTGAAACTGCCTTCTGATTGGTCAAGCCCTCCCCCCACCCCGTGTCCCCTTTAGCTACGCCCCTCACTCGCTGTGGCTCCGCCCCTCGCGCACTCTCATTGGCCACATGCACCCATGTGGGGCGGAGTCTATTCTGCAGCGCACCAATCGGTGTCTTTGTGTATCTCCCTTGCGTCCGTCAACCCATACGGGTGAGCCGTATTTTTGAACAGGGAAACTGAATTTTCAGGTCCATTCGGCGTACAGCCGTTTAAATATGGGCAAATAAATGTCTTTGTTTGTGTTTATCCCTGTTATGGGACTGTAGGATGAACGCTGATATTTATAAGGGCCAATAAAGTCTGTAATGAGGTAGGCGTGAAACATCCTGGCTCACCATTTATTTGGTGATTTGCTTACAGTGCCTCTCACGCTGGGCTACCGGTGTGCAGAGACAACATCGCTGTGGTCTCAAAACTGACAATACTTTATAACAAATATCGCGACATTAAATACACAGTACTTGCATCATATATACATGACCACACAACAATGCAATGATAAAATGCACATGTTCCGTATTCTCCAGATTAAGGTATACTCCAGAAGGTACTATATACTTTAAACTTGTGCCCAGTGGAAATAACGTTACACAAATCTGCTCACACACTCTTACAAGAACAAATACACATTAACACATTCATACATAGCCAGACTGTGAGGCAGCCGCAATTTTTGGTAAAAAAGAGAATAAAAGTGTCTTATAATCTGGACAGCACGTTATTACAAAAACTAAACAATGCATCAATACTACACTCGTTTGTATACACATTACTCTTTGGTTTTGTCGGTAAAGTCACGTAGGTAAAATAAAATTTAAAACAAAAGAAAACTAAATTAAATCATGACGTTTCGGAGGCAACACAAGCTTCCGTCTTCAGGTGGAACAGTCACAGCAAGATAGCTGCATCAAAAAACCAAAGAGTATGAATCCTTGCAGTCACGAAAGCTTCAAATCTAGAATTGTATACACATTGTAAAAGAAATACATCCCTTTAGGATGCTTGAGTGGTTACGTCTTTTGGAATGATAGACTTGCATGGATCTTTAGAATTTTGTTTGGGTTCGAGTTGTAGGGTGCATGGATCTTTAGAACTTTGGTTGGGTTCGAGTTGTAGGGTGCATGGATCTTTAGAACTTTGGTTGGGTTCGAGTTGTAGGGTGCATGGATCTTTAGAACTTTGTCTGGGTTCGAGTTGTAGGGTGCATGGATCTTTAGAACTTTGGTTGGGTTCGAGTTGTAGGGTGCATGGATCTTTAGAACTTTGGTTGGGTTCGAGTTGTAGGGTGCATGGATCTTTAGAACTTTGTCTGGGTTCGAGTTGTAGGGTGCATGGATCTTTAGAACTTTGGTTGGGTTCAAGTTCAAGCCGTTTGGTTATGACTGATGTGGCTATACATTTAGGTGGCGGCGTTACCTTTGCGGTTGCCAGCCACTCTTTTGTGAAGGAGATATAAGGCTCCTTGACCGAAGGTGTAGTTTTCGTCAAAGTGTGAGATGCATTTGCAGCTTTCGAGGCAGTCGAGTTCGAAGTGGTCACAACGTTTATCACGGGGGTCACTGGATGCAAGGTCACGATGGACGGGACCTGTGCTGGCTGCGATAAAGTGCCCGGGGTCGTTTTGAAGGTTGCCGTTGCTACTCTGGATCGTATGGCAGACTGAAGCTTGACTTTAACTTCACCGCTAGAATCTGCAGAGGAGGAAACCACCACACATGGTCGCGTCGTCTTTGCAGTTGCACGTTTCATAATTATTCGTCCCTGGACAATGGACTTAGTCGCTTCTCCAGTAGATGGCGCCCCGGTAACACTTCCCTCTGTATTTGAAGCACTCGTCTCTTCGCCTTGTTTGCTGCCATCCACAGGCTGCCTTGTGTTTTGCACAGGAGAATTTTGACGGGGTGATGATGGTACACTCATTGTTGGCTCGTCAGTCTGGCTTGCTCGGTTGATCAACACGCTGGTGGTCGCGGGACCGTTTGGGAGATCACGCGGTTTGTTTGGAGCGTTGCCACCGTGTTGACTGTCCAATGACAATTTATCAGAACCCGTCACGTGAGGTTTGGCGGTTCTTCCTTTTAAAATATCGATTACCTAAGGGAGAGGTGCATAACACATGAGTAGACTCATATATCAATGTACTTGCATTGGCGAGAAAACACAAACTTTGAAAAGATAAAGGTGCAGCCCTGCAATTTATTGCTCAGCCCATTGCTGGCAAAAGGACCTCCACGAGAGGGAGCAACAAAGAGCCAGTCTCAAGGGTTATAACTGGCCTACTCTTCAAGATGTCTTGGAAGAGGTGGGCATGCCCACATTTTACCCCACCACTGCAACCTACCGATCAACTGTAGTGCACCCATTTATGTTACTGGGCAGGGGGTGGGGATGTAATAAAGTTGCACCATTGCTTCCGCTGCCACGCCGGATTATTGAATTGAACCCGCAACCTCGAGAATAACAAGGCTAGTGCGCTGACCATAACACAACGGCAACATCCTTGTGCAAAGTAGTATCACGTGGATGGAGATAGCTGTAATTGATGGAACATTGGACCACGCCGAGTTGAACGGCGTGGTCCAGGGGTGCCGGGGTGGAGGGATGTTAGCTGCCTCGCCTGGTATACAGGAGGTCGTGGGTTCGATCCCGACCCTAATGCCTGTATATTTGGGGTTCACATATTCTCCCCGTGGTCACGTGGATTTTTGTCCAGGTCCTCCGGTTTTCCCCCCACATTTAGAATCAACATGCGTTTAGAGTATTTGGCTGCAATATATTTCCACGTGATAAGCTACTTCAATGCGCTATCATTTGTGGCCAGGTCGCTTCTGAAAAAGAGAGCTATATACAACTGAGTGGGCCTTACCTGGTAAAACTAAGAACAGCTTTTAAAATAATTTGAACATGACATACAATACCTGCTGGTTGGTGGTGACCGTGTAGGCATTGTCATTCTGCGTGTTCTTGAGTCCAACGTTGGCGCCGTGCCTCACGAGGAGGTGCGTGATCTCTAGCAGGCCCCGGCCACTCGCCACGTGCACGGCTGCATTGCCACCGTACGTCTGCTGGTTCACATTCGCACCATGCTGCAACAAGGCAGCAAAACCGCAGCGTTAACACGCAGGATTTCATAGCCACGATTGTGATTCACAAGAGATGTTTGGGTTTGGCCACGTAATGATATGACCAAATAATGTGTTGTGAAACCCTTCGCCAACCCGACAACAGCTCAGCAAATTAGATTGTGACGTATACAACAGGCGTTTAATGCGCCGATTATTATTGCTTCAGCTCACCGGCAAGTTGAAGAGCAAGACTCACAGCAAAATTTTGGTATGAGATACGTGACGTTTGATTTGGAAGTACCCCAAACATTATCAGGGAAAAACGTATTCAGGCCTCAAGATGATAATTCAGGAATTGAGATTAACAATTTCACCTGACCAGGCTTCCTTAAATAAAATCCATGCCATTGCAGGGCACAACCAATCAGATGCGAAGCATATGTTAAGGTAATGAGTACATATTTACAAATTGTATTCAAATGTATCACTGCCAATGATTAACATTACATGCATCTGTAGTGGATCGTGAATGCCGTGTGCTACGTATCACCCTCGCGTGCTGAAAATACGATGTTTCAGCGCCACGTGCTGGGAACAAAACGTTGGACATCACAGCAAACAAAATGCCGGACAAACCGTAAGCACATCAGAGAGACTTGACATGAGCCATCATAAAAGCTTGGCGAGGTGACAATACAAAGGAATCGAAAGAATAAGATACCTTGATTAGAAGTTCTACAATCTCTATGTTGTCATTTTCCACTGCGTAGATTAAAGCAGAGGATCCGTTTTTCCAATCCTGTGAAACAGTATACCAAGGAGGAAAACCACACATGTGCATTGATTCTGTATCGCTATCCAACGTGTAAATAATCATTATTTGTTCATGTGCTGTGACATACAGATCATAAGCATTGACACTGATGAATAAAAGTTAGCAAAAATGGGAAAGTTTGAAAAGGGGATGGCGACAGCAGTGGAGTGATCACGGCAGACGATTAAAAACATCATCTTCCGAGGCACACGAGATGACATCACAATATTTGCGCTCCTCACACGGTCACACACGGTGACATTATCACGAGGCGCACGCACGGAACGTGACATCATATGCAGCCTTGGCCGAAAAGGCTTTTCTTTTTGACGCTGGTTTATTTATAGCTTTTAGACAACCCTTTGATCAATTTATTTCTTAAGATCTGCTTTTTGTGTTGAGCTTGTTGTCCTTCCCCCACGCCTCCGATTAGCACGGTTAGATACGTACGGTGCAAAATAAGTTCAACATACGTACATACAATTTGGTCGGTTTTTAACAGGCTAAGTCCATAACAGCGGCACCACTTCATACTTTATACTCTAAAATCCCTTTTGCTGGGACTTATAATAAGCAGCACTGTTATTCGGGCAAGCGTGTTTATTTTGAAGTCGCTTACTAAGGCGTCCACATTGACTTGATTCTCAAGCAGACGGGACACAGCACTGACGCAACTTCCCTTCACTGCCACGTGCAGTGGAGTCATCCCTGTACACGCACACAGCACGACATTGTCATAATTCTAAGATCAAAGTACGTGCTTTGTTTTACTCTTTCAACGATTTCAACATATTCCCTTGACATAATAACGTGTTAATCTATCCGCCTATTGGTTTTTCAGACCAATATTATTGAGCAGCATAATATTGGTCTGGAAAGCTAATATCGTGAAAAGCTGATGAGCTAAATCTGTTTAGCTCATCATGGAATTCCACTTGTGTATATATGCTTTAAAACGAACATAAATATAGTATTACAAATAAGAATAGGTTTTACCCTTTCTGATAATAAAACAGGTGTTAAGATGTTCAAGGAATCAAGTCTGCATTAACCACACGTACTTGTGGTGTACATGCAAACAAACAAGCTCTGATAATATATGCATTGTCTTTGAAACTGATTGGCCTACACCAGAGACAGCCTTACTCTTTGGTTCTTTCGGTAAAGTCACGTAGATGAAAAAAATAATAATGAAAATAATACAATGAAAATAACTCAATTAAATCACGACGTTTCGGGCGCAACACAAGCGTCCGTCATCAGGTGGGAAAGCATGGTCTGCTGCTGATGCAGACTGTTTTAAAAGGTTTGAAATGGGTGTAGCCTAAGGGTCATAAAGAAGTGGCTGGGTCTAGTGATGTTAATGTGAGAAATTAGCATGTAACTGGGTACGGAAGTGGCTATGTAAACATAGCCACTTCTTTATGACCCTTGGGCTACACCCATTTCAAACCTTTTAAAACAGTCTGCATCAGCAGCAGACCATGCTTTCCCACCTGATGACGGACGCTTGTGTTGCGCCCGAAACGTCGTGATTTAATTGAGTTATTTTCATTTTATTATTTTCATTATTATTTTTTATTTTTCATCTACGTGACTTTACCGAAAGAACCAAAGAGTATGTATCCTTGCAGTCACGAAAACTTCAAATCTAGAAGAGACAGCCTTCTTCATGGCCTAGTCTCACCAGTGTCAGACCAGAGAACGGCAAAAGGCGAACATTACAAAGCCAATGCATGTATCAGAGCATGTATAGCTTGGGTTGAGCAGCATTGCAGTGCTGACCAAGAGGCCACCCGAGGTGAGATTGAGAGACAAGGACACATTACATGAGACTGAGCCTGGAGGTCTCTCTTGAGTTATCACCGAGTCAAGCAACGTCAACTTGACACTTAACGCGGCTCACAGGGCAAAGTGGAGGACAGGAAAGCAGCACGGCCAATCTTGGTGGCGAGATGTTAACTCCCTCGCCTGGTATGCAAGAGGTCGTGGCTTTGATCCTGACCCTGATGCCTCTTTATTTGGAGTTTGCATGCTCTCCCTATGGTTGCGTGGATTTTTCTCCGGGTCCTCCGGTTTTTTCCCCCAGATTTAGAAACATGCGCTTGGAGTATTTGGCTGCTATGATTTTTCCACGTGATAAGATACTTCGTTGAGCTATCATTTGTGGTCAGGTCGCTTCTAAAAAAGAGTTACATAGCTCAGTGGGCCTTACCTGGGGAAATAAAAAATAGTTTAGTTTTCGTTTCGTTTAATATAAACGAGATAAACATGAAAAATGTAAAACGTCAAGTTTATTCTTTAACAAGGTAATAAACTCAACAGACAAAGATGGCTCTCATTTGCCAGGGTGACATGGGTCACCAATATGCGAAAAAGCAATAAAGTGCAGTTGAGCACAACGATTAAGCAAATAGAAATCAGAGCAAATTCAATCAAAATAGACACTAGAGCAAACGCAACCATGTGGGCATAAGACGTTGAAACCTGTGGACAAGCATAATCAATATTACATGTAATACACTTGCAGTAATAAAATATGGCTTCGATAAATTACTCCTCGTAACGATTCATCGTAAAATTAATTTACAGGAAACCATCAAAACGAACGTGGGGTGACACCTGCATTGGAATGTAAGGAGACAGGGATACGTGAATGTCGACTATGGGAGAAAACCGGCCAGGCGCCGTGGACACACCGGAAAAGTCGTGGCTGTTGAGGAGCCCTCGGCAGGCTGGCTGGGCGAGCAGCAGGGCGAGCACGTGGGTTTGGCCGGCGCTGCACGCCAGGTGCACAGCATTCATGCCATGACGGTCCAGGGCAGCGGGGGAAGCTCCTCCACTCAGCAGCACGGCCACGAGCGCCTCCTGCCCCGTGATGATGGCCAGGTGCAGCGGCGACTGCGCACACAGCGTGGAGCCGCCTCGTCTATTTTACTCGCACGGGTGGCTGTGGGCCGACGCGGCCACGCAGTTGCTCGCCTGCGCCACCGCTGGTGGATGGGCTTCAGAATTAGAACGTTTATTTATCCTGGAGAAATCCGATGAGCTATGGAGCTCTTTTTCACAGTTGTCCAGTAAGGGGCTGGGTCAGAAAGTTATATCAACAATACAAAAAAATTATGGGAGCGCAAAGTATAGGAAAGGTAAGCAAATCACTAAAACTAATTTAAAAACATACGTAAAGTCTACCTGTTCAAATTGCATGAGTACATCAAATCCCAAGCTTGAGCAAGGATTCTGCCAGACTGTGCTCTGAAGAGCCCCTCTGGAAGGTATTTTGCCAACGCTTCAAGATGTCTTGGAAGCCGTGAGAATACCCACACTTTAACCCCACCACAGGCGACTTGCCGATTGACTGTGACATAAACATTTATATTGCTGGGTGGACAGAGGCGGGAGGCATTCAAGAACCCCACACCATTGTTTCAAGTGCCTAACCGGGAGAAGGAACCAGTTGCTCCACCGGGAGATGCAACCGGTGGCCTCACCTGGAGGTGCAACCGGTCGCCTCACCAGGAGATGGAACCGGTGGCCTCACCGGGAGATGGAACCAGTGACCTCATCGGGAAATAGAATCGGTGGCCTCACCTGCAGATGGAACCAGTGGCCTCACCGGGAGATGGAACCGGTGGCCTCACCGGGAGATGGAACCGGTGGCCTCACCGGGAGATGGAACCGGTGGCCTCACTGGGAGATAGAACCGGTGGCCTCACCAAAAGATGGAACCGGTGGCCTCACCAGAAGATGGAACCAGTGGCCTCTGGATTGTGTACCAACTATTCCACCATGGCAGAGTCCCTACGAGTATGACTAACACACACAGAGTCAGAGTGGTTTTATTTACATGTCTGTAAGTGTGGGATAAATCAAGAGTAATTATTAACATAATCATTGGCAGCATGAGGCCCCTTGACTATGTGGGTATTGTTAGCGTCTCGGGGGAATGAGGGGTAACCCTTCCTTTGAACCTCGGGGAACCTTCCACTGCAACTGATAAAACATCTCTTACATTTTGCATAAGTTCATAAAGGTATGCTGTGACGGTGCAATGGTTATAAACCCTGGACTTACAATCCAGAGGCCACACCAGTTCCATCCCCAGCCCGGCAGTTCAAGCAATCGGGAAAGTTTCATAAATCCCCCCTCAACCCCCCTCCCCTCCCACCCACTGCCTATGTCCACCCAGCGGTAGAAATGTTCATGCCACAGTTGGTAAAGTGTGGGTACTCCTCTGTTTTCCAATAAGGCTTCCCAGCATGGAAGAGTAGGCCAAATACTGAACTGTCTGGAGGGGCTCTCTCGATCTCCCTCTCGTCGAGGCCCTTCCACCAGCAGTGGTGTGCGCAGGCAATTGCAGGTTTGCACTTTTACCGTTTAATACAAATACAATCCTGCAGTTTATACCAAAAGGAACTTAATTTTAAATGTTGCGTATACAGTATTCACAAAAAAATTAAGCCATCGAAGCACAGTCAAGTTAAGGAATTAATTAATCAAGTCAATCTTTCTTTTACGTTCCAATATCGCTCTCAATAAAGTGGGCATCGGTGCACATTACAGTGGAACGGGAGCAGCACAGGGGGTCATAGAGCACACAGGAATTAAAAACAGAAACCCATCACGGCCTCAAGCGGCAACTGATATCCACGTGTTTACGTGTTCAGAGGGCGACCTGTTGGGTTGCTTCACTCCCAACCGCACGGCACGACAAAAGGCGAGCAGTAGCAGCACAGCACGGCTGCCCACTTTCAATTCTAGGGCGAATGAAGAGCAGTACTCTTTTTGGGTTAGATCGCATAAGCGATCGCGTAAGCATCCCTCCACGGATGTTCGTCTTCAGTGGGGGCATAAGTAACCACAACCACAACTCCTCATTTGGCGCAGCCTCTCCTCCGCAGTGAGCGTTCCAACATTCCACGTAGCCACACGTAGTGGTTTTTTGTTGTTTCTGGAGGAGCCCCGAGGGTAAGGATTCAGTCTCCTGGCTCCGCCAAATGGGGTTTGGCCAGGAGACGTCATAGACGCCTGTCCCCCCGCGGCCTCCGGCACAAGCTTATTAATGACATTTTTCTGACGTAATTTAATGGTAATTAATTGAAGGTGGAGGGGTTACTAGCCCCTCGCATCCGTCCAAAGCCCCCTTTTGGCCGCTGTGGTCACAAATGCCATGAGGGGAAAGGCCAATCGGAATTGGCCCTCCCCCCATAGCACTGCCCACGACAGCGTTGCCCGTCCGGCACCACGAGGAGGTAGGGGGTTGTTTTGCCACGGCACACATACAGGGACGTACAATTTATGCACAACTCTAACAACACTAACTCGCTCTTCGGGGAAAGTCCCCACCTACTATGGAGAAGAAAAATAACATCCTATCACATTCACAAAATAAACCGTATGCAAAGCAAGATTACAAGCGTTTCCGCAGTGACAATATAGTACAGTATTTGGCCTAGGACCAATTCAGATATCACTCGCTGATGACCTGGAATCGAACTCAGGTTGCTGGGTTTGTAGTGCAGTGCGCAAACCATGGGGGTTCTTTACGCCGGTGTAATTATCCTCGCTTAGTGGAGGCGGCGGTGGCAGTGGTGGTGATGGTGGCGGCGGCACGGCTCACCTGGTGTAAGTGGTTGCAGACATCCAGGCTGATCCGGCCCATGTGGAAGAGCTGCACGATCTTGTTTACCATTTGCACATTCTGCTGCACCACAGCGATGTGTAGCGCCCTGTCAACAAAGTCCTCCAGGAGTCACGTTCGGTACAAGGGATACGGTGGACGAAGAATATATGGTCTTCCACGCGAGATTAATAATCACAAATAAACGAATAAAAACACTCCCAAAATTGAAACAGCCGCACTCTGCTGACACCACAGCAGACCAACAAATCGGCAGTGTGTTGTGTCTTAAGCCCTCAAAAACAAGCATGAATAAGTTCACTCGCTTCCATAAGAGGATGTAGGGTAAAACACTGGCAGTCCGCCACCCTGCCAAATGCATTTAGCGAATGCTTTTACGCGTGGACTTTCACACAGGTAGAGCAGCAGATACACAAAGGATAGAAATAAATAAATACGTCAATGGACCTGGTTAATGCACCTGCGGGTGCATTAACCAGGTGCATTAACTGGAAAAAAAATATACGCGACCTCTGCAAAAAGGATCCAGAATGTAAACCAACGAAGCGTAGATCATTGAGTGCAGGCATCACGGCCATAAAAATTGGAAAATTACTCTGCGAATTACTGCAATTGGGAAACGCATGGCAATATTATCCTCCTACTGCAAAAAACTTAGCAGGGCCCTGCTGAAAGGGAGACTCTACCATGCTCACCTGGGTAAACAAGGGTCATTCATAATAATACATCAGAGATCGTGAGCAAGGGTGCATGGATGCTCTAACTTCTCTTCAGCTCGAGCTTCATGCCAGAGCAGAAATACATGAAAAAAGCCACAACGATGCCCACGCATCGATAATGTGGCTCATATACAGTACAATGCGGCTCATATACAGCACAATGCAAATATAAAGTCACGATAACGTTGGAGAAATATTTAACAAATACGGGTTGGAGAAATATTTAACAAATACGGGTAACACCGGTTCACGAAGGTCAGTTCGCGTGCAGGCGCTGCGTGGATCGCTGCAGATGTTTCACTTGTCGGTACCACCCGAGGTGTCGTATCGTCCTATTTGGTTCCTATTTCACGGTCTGCCCAAATAAGTGTGAATGATGTGATCACTAAGGGCACCGCGGTGTCGAGATATTAACTACCTCGCCTGGTATACAGGACGTCGTGGGTTCGATCCCGACCCTAACCCCTGCTGTATATTTGAAGTTTGCGGTGTCTCTCTCCCTGTCGCGTGGATTTATTTTCCGGGTCCTCCAGTTTTCCCCTCCACGTGTAGAATCAACATGCATTTAGAGTACAGTATTTGGCTGCTATAAATGTCCACATGATGATAAGCCACTTCGTTGAGCTATCATTTGTGGCCAGGTCGCTTCTGAAAAAGAGCTATTACAGTTCAGTGGACCTTACCTGTTAAAATAAAAGACAGTTTTTTGTTATAGTTTTCATATATTTATAAAAAGTAAAATAATTCACTCCTATTGGCAATACAAATACATCGGTACGACTAAAGTTTTGTTTTCTTAGGCGATACAAATTCCTGACGCGATTGATTAAAAAAACGTGTAAGTGATTGTATGCACTGTTTGCAAAAGTACATACAGTCAGGCGGGGAGTGCGTAAGTGCACTAATCCAAAACAGATTTGATTTCGTTGCCTTATTTGTGAAGGCTGGAAAGTCCCCGACAACTGAAAGAGGAAGTTCTCATTGCGCTGTGATGGCAGGTGGCCCGAGCCTCCAATAGGGGGTGCACGCAGGGGATTTCCCCCTACAGTGGAACTTCGAGCCACAATGAACGAACCAGGAGTGGAGAAGACCCTGAGAATACCGTGGGGGAGAAGTGGGATGTTAAATTCTTGGAAAGTGCCGCGAAAGCCAAAACCGCGATATTCAATACTTAAATCGTATCTAAATAATGGGGATATGTACTGGACACGGCAACCAAAAATAGACGCATCGCAATTGCAATAAGTACTGTACTGTATGCCACAAACTAAAATAATTGTAATGAACACCTGATACAAAAAACATTCCTGCACAATAAATTGTAGTATAAATACTGAATACTGCACTTATATATGTGTGTGTCTGCGAGTGGGGAGCGGTAGTGCAACGACCGGTTCGCGCACTACACTACCAACCCGGCGACCCGAGTTTGATTCCCACTCACGCCCGACACCAGGTGATAGCGATTATCTGAATTGGTTCTGGTCCTCCCCTAGGTCGACTCGGCCTCAGATGAGTACCTGGTGCGGTGTGTAAAAAACATCGCCACTGTGGAGACAAAGGCGATGTGGTGCTGGCCACCCACCCTCTCGTGTGCCCTGCCTGCCTTCATAGGTGCTCGGCTAACAGCACTTGCCCCAACAGCCTCTTAAGGCTACACGGGGGATCTTTGTCCGCGAGATGCCTGCACGGCAAAGGTTGAGGTGCCACCGACTACCTCGCGTCCCTCGTGAAAGGCCAAAACTCCGGTGACAAACCGTGGTAGTTGAATTGGTATACAAAGCGAAGCCACGAACGAAAAAAATCGCGATATTCAATGGTCTCCTGTATAACACACAACATTTGAAGTGCACTTACTTCACACATGGGAATATTCTCATTCGTTTTAGCCACACTTTTCTCATACAGTTAACTTTTTAAACACCGCACAAATATAGTTGTTATGGTATTTCTTGTCCCGTGCGTTTTGACTTATCTATTCGAATAGAACCAAGGAACGGAACACGTCCAAGGGGACTTTTGACCATGTGGTGGAGTGGTAAAATCAGCTCGTGTGTGCAGCTGCTGGTTATATTATTGCATCACAGGGTCGAGAGAGAGGTGGCAGTGGCTTTGGGAGGTCTTCATCCAGCAGTGGATTGGCCATGGCTGATGATTTTAGTATTGTTTTAGCATTATTAATGATTTTCCATGAAACATTTTCAGTTAACATTCCCTGTGGCCAATTATATTTGTGGCGATCAAAACAGTGCACGCCCACGTGGAAATGCGCGTTAAAATTGAGAAGTGTCGTTCCCGTCTCTGCATACCACTCTCAAACAACAGATGTCCGTCCTTCCCTTCGGCCCCTCTCAGCACGACTTCTCACGGAGCAGGCTAAACCAAAAACACCAAAACACTACTTTCACTCGTTTTCTTCCCACGGAAAAGTTCTCAACTATGTTCGGCCCACGTGACCTTTCATCATTCACTCGTGGCCTCGTCACATCGCCACATCTTGCCAGCGCTTCGATCTCAGGTGGCGAGGTCCTCCACACCTTCAACAAGCTGCCGCTGTCATGCCATGCTCTAGAGCGGTGGTTCTCAACCGGGGGGGGGGGGGGGGGGGGGGGGGGGGGCGGGGGGGGGGGGGGTAGGCGGACCCCTGGAGACACAATGTGGCAATGTCCCAGGGGGTACGTGATGTCATTTATGAATGTGAAATTATATCATACATGAGATTCATTGGTGAATAATCACTCATGAAACTGCCAATATAAAAGAACTACGATAACATTTAAATCCATATGGTAACATAGAACGATATAAAATACATTTCTTAACTCACTGATCGTAAACAATGTGGTTTCTCAGAGAAAGCAGCGACCGCGAGAAAATGCCGTCATGCATGCAGAACGTCCGTTTATTTTTTTGTTATTCGCTTCAGTTATTGCTAATTTGTTGGATAACCTCAGAAAATGGACAAATGTTAACATATTGATCTTAATTATTCATACATTTATTTCTCAGAACCATGTTGGATCAGGCAAGGGGGTACTACTCGGTTGAAACAGAAGGAAGAGGCGGCCACAGAAATGTATCTGAAAGCACGTGACGCAGTGACTATCTGTGTTCGATGGTAAGGCAAAAGCCGCTGTGAAGATGAACTTGACCAGGCTCAAATTGCCTTGAGTCTTTGTGTTTATATGAAACATTAATAATTCGCTGGAAAGCTTGAATTTCAAAGGTGGTCATTCTCCTTTATTTTTTCTTGGAACATCTTTAATGACGTGTTTGTCTTTTTTGACAGTCTCTCTACAATGCTATGATCCACTTCCAAATCCTTTGGGATGTTGGAAAAGCTCTCTGTCCACCACTTTCATTCGCTGTTGTGCTCGACTACTGAGCTGCTCATGAAATCCGTGAATGGAGTAGTGACAAGAGGCGATCGGGAATCGGAATGCGTGATTTCCATGCAACTCTCCGGATGCGGATTGTTGACCAGGATCTCGGCCGGATCACTGCGGCTCATTGGCAGATTGAGGCACTGGGGTCTTAAGGTGAGCGGTCCACAACATAAGCTGGTGCCGATGATTAGGAATTGGGGATTCCATATCTTCATCACAGGTGTCAACAGGAAGTAAGATTGTACAGGTGATTAATGCAAGGGGTTGTGGGAACGTAAATATCGGTGTTTGTAATGTTTTGTTGTTGCAACTTTCTGACCTGTCCCTACTGGATATTTTTGTTAAAAACAGCACCAAAGCTCATCGGATTCCTCCTGCAGTCTAAATGAATGGACTGGTAAACCTGTACCTGTGTTACTGCAGAGGTCACAGCGCTGGACTAGTGGGAAGAGACGCTTTCTGGCACTGCAGTGCAGGTACTTGTGAGGCACGTGAGAGATATCATGGCAGAATCAAGCAAGTGACTTGGGATTGGGATTCAGAGACAGAAGTCGACAGCGAGCTGTTGAGTGGGAAAGAGGAGGCTGGGCGGGATGGGGCGTGTGTGCAGGACGGCGGAGGGTAGGCTGTAGAACCGGTGCATGACGAACACACATTGCAGGACTGCACACTCTCAACTCAACTATTTCTATTTTAACAGATGAGGCCCACGACGTTATATAGCCATTTTTCAGAAGCAACCTGGCCACAAATGATAGCTCAACAAAATGCCTTATCACGTGGAAATGTATAGAAGCCAAATACTCTAAACGCATGTCGATTATAAATGCGGAGGGAAAAAATCGGAACACCAGGATAAAAAGCCACACGACCACGGAGAGAGACATGCAATCTCCAAATATACAGGCGTCAGGGTCGGGATCTAACTCACAACCTCCTATATACCAGGCAAGGGAGTTAACATCTCACCACCGTGGCACCCACTCGTTTTTATCTCAGTCCAAGGCACTCTGTTGACAAAAGATTGTCGACCTTCTACAGATTATCCACATGTCTTCTTTTAAAGCTTTTCAACTATGATTGTGACAATTATTTCGCTTGTTTACCCAGGAAAGTCTCACCGAATCTCAACTCTTTTTCAGGAGGGCACTGCCCAGTGTTGACAGTTGGGGACGATGTTGCTGCTGCTGCTTTGTGCGATTCCAAATTAAGCCATTTGCAGGTAATTTTTTCAACATTTGGATGTTTTAGTCAATACCGGTTACATTGTGTGCGTTTAGTTACGGGAGGAAACCGGAGAGACCGGAGAAAGCCCGCGCAGAACAGAGAGAGAACATTCAAACTCCACACAGAAGGGCACGAGTCCAACTAAGATTTAAAGCGTTAATGCATTAGTTCGGTCAGTATGGAAAGGCGGGTCCCTTGAACCCTCGAATAATTATCTGCATCCCATCACATAAAGCGTCAACGCAATATTACTCACTTTCCATCCCTCAATTCCCGTGGCAGGCCTCGAGCACTACCTATGCCAGACCTGCAGGATAACCACTGTAGTTGTAGTCTCAACTCGTTTTCCGCGGTCATCAGTCACCATGGCGACCGAGGAACAAGGCAAAGTCGGCCACCAGCGCAGCGTGCAAAGGGCACAGTCGAATAACGATGGGACAATCAATCGCCTCCACTGTGGTGGCGGCGGCGAGGCCGATGAGGATGGTGAAGCAAAGGGAACGCCGCTGTGGCAGGAGAGCGTGTGCCTCTGGCAGGGCAGGGCTCTCACTGTTTGAGCAGGGTCACGTGTGGGGTCCGTGGGTCGCATGGAGGGAGGTGGCAGAGTTGCGCTAGGTGATTAAGGAGAGCTTTTTTGGAAGGAATTGGGAGAGCGCCTCCGATTAACATGGCTGGCTACATATGGTGCGAAAGAAGTTCAACATAAGTGAATACAAGTGGCGAAAGACAGGTGCTGGAAGGGAGAGGAGCAGTCGCCACCTCCTTTCATGTGCCTTATGAAGAGCAACTATTAAGCGATTCAGTTCAACGTGATTTGGCCATTCAATTGCTGTGTCTGCGAATTGGTGAATTGCAGTTACACCCACTGATCCATCCACCACTCTATTCACATTTATATTCGGGGCAGTGTGAAGTAATTCGCTCCACGGTATCCCAATGTAGGACCACAGGGCTTGGGCAATTGTTGGCACCAGGTCATGGCTGCCTTTCCGCCTATTTGTGGTTTCCCGTGCCTCTGATTCATTCTCTCTCTGGCGTTGCATATTCTAAATTGTCCTTATCAATCCTATCTACACCAAAATGCATCTTCTGGTGTGGCTGCGATGTGCGTAATGTGGTTCCACCTTCCGCGGTCATCATCAACTCCGGTTAGCAGTGCCCAACCACTTGATTGTGACATCGAGAAACGGTCGGGACGTTATAATCTGCCTACACACTCCCACAGTCACTCACTTACCCACTGACTCGCTCACTCACACACCTGCTCACTCACTCACCCACTCACTCATCCACTCACACACTTTACCCACTCGCTCACACACCCGCACGCGCACTCATCCACTCACTCAAACACTCATCGAGTTACTCACACACGCATCCACTCACTCACCCACGCATCCACTCACTCACATACTTATCCACTCACTCACCCATTCACCCACTCACTCACCCGCTCACTCACACACCCATTTCTTTACACACTCACACACAATTGCACTCACTCTCCCATCCACCCACTCACTCACTCTTCCACTCACCTACTCACTCCCACACTCACCCATTCACTCGCTCACTCCCACACTAATCCACTCACTCACTGAACTACTCATTCACATACTCACCCACACTCACTCTCCCACTCATCTACTCGCTCACTTACCCACTTCCTCACACAATCTCTCACACACTCACACACACTCACTTACTCACTCGACCCACCGACTCACTCACACTTTTTTTGCGGTGTGCAGCAAATCTTAAACTCGGTGCCAGTTACTGTTAGGATTTGTCATTGTTGGCCAGTTCTGCACTAGCTCCAAGTCGGATTTGTTCTGTGAAGCTGACTAAGAATCAACCTCATGTCTTTGTGACAGCCTATGTGCTACAACAAAAGCCCAAATACCGAGCATCCAAGGTATATACGTTGAACTTCTTTTGCACCGTACGTAGCCAACCACGTTAATCGGAGGTGCGATTAAGATATGACATTTGTAGAGAGCACAGTTTGTTTATCAGGCGTCCACCGCAGAAGGTAAACATTTCGGTAAACGTACGTGTCTCCGTCTTCGTCGGGTTTGGCTGCGATGGCGATGTCCGAGTGGGGGTGTTCGTGCGGAAGGGACGGTGGCCGGGGAGCGGCGAAGCCGGAGGAGGCCAAGAAGACCTTGGCTGGCACGAGCGTGGGTACAATGGGCAAACCTGCACACAAAACACGCGCTTTTTTATATTATTATTATTATTTACAAGAGTCATTCCCAACGAGACGTAATGATCTGGCCGAATTTACGTCACAAAACTTTCCGCCGGCCATCTGTACGGCCAAAACGAAATAAAATTGTCGCCTGGTATACAAGCGTTTAATGCTCCAATGATGATTGTTTCAGCTCAATGGTGATTTGCAGAACATTTCTCACGGCCAAACTCTAGCAATTAGAAGTGCGACGTTTTGCTGGATACTATGCCAAGCATCTTCTTGTGAGACCATACATTCTACGAGATGTCTAGAGGAAGACTACACGCGCTACAGCATCCAACGTATAATGCACATGTACGGACATTTTGCCAATCCACTGCTGGATGAGGGCCTCCCCATGCGGTGCAGGCAGTGGAAGTTGTTTGACCATACTTCAATATGCTGGGAACACATTATGGTACATATATCACTCGTGAGTGAAAGCATTCCCAAACTTGTTTTTAAAATAGCATTTACTTTAAGGAGGGAAGTAAACACAAAAGGCACACGCTCCTGTCATGCTGTTACTCATGTTTATATGAGCCATCTAATGTGATTGTTCATGTTGGTTTAATCATAATAACAATATAATAGCATATACTTGATGTGCAATTTAAATAAATGTGTATTCTGTCCTTACGCACGAACTGGTCTTATACAAATGCACGTCTTCATACTGACACCTAATGGGTCACTCACAAAGCCAAGGCAACCGTCTTCACCTATTCCACTTAACGTACTGCAGTTGCACACCGGGTTACATTTTTTTTAATCACAGTTGCTGAGTACAGGCCCAAAGGCCCAGAATGCTAAGCAGCTTGAAGCACACCGTACTATTACAGCCGTTATATATGGTAGTGAATGCATTTCTTGAATTGAGCAAGATGATTACAATAAGTTGGCGAAATATACGATGGGAGTGGGTTCCAAAGGCGTTGATTGTACAAAGGACGAACGAGGCAAAGCAGTAGACCTGGTAGTCAACTATCGGTGGAAGAATTGAGTGACGTTCATGGGAAGATGAACCATGGCAGTAGCGATAGAAGAAGGATGAGGACTGACTCAGTGAATGCTGGATGATCATTCTGCCTAAGTGTAAACACTAAGTGTACAGCATGCAAATTAGCTATAAGACCAAACTCAACATTTTAGGAACATGTGTGTTCAATTCAGTACAGCTCTGTATACCTGCGAGACGTGGACATTAAAAACTACTCACAGGGATAAGATATTGAAACTCGAAATGTATTGCTACAGAAGGATACTGTATCGAAACTGGACCCAAAGAGTGACCAATGTAGACGAAAAAGGTTGGACGTATAAGACGACATGAAGATGCAGTTCGAACCTTCAGCTCCCTCCACAGATTTTCTATGGGATTAAGGTCTGGAGACTGGCTAGGCTACTCCAGGACCTAAATGTGCTTCTTCTTGTTGCCTTGTCCGTGTGTTTTGGGTCATTGTCATGCTGGAATACCCATCCACGACCCATTTTCAATGCCCTGGCTGAGGGAAGGAGGTTCTCACCCAAGATTTGACGGTACATGGCCCCGTCCATCGTCCCTTTGATGCGGTGAAGTTGTCCTGTCCCCTTAGCAGAAAAACACCCCCAAAGAATAATGTTTCCACCTCCATGTTTGACGGTGGGGATGGTGTTCTTGGGGTCATAGGCAGCATTCCTCCTCCTCCAAACACGGCGAGTTGAGTTGACGCCAAAGAGCTCCATTTTGATCTCATCGGACCACAACAATTTCACCCCGTTTGTCCTCTGAATCATTCAGATGTTCATTGGCAAACTTCAGACAGGCAGGTATATGTGCTTTCTTGAGTAGGGGGACCTTGCGGGCGCTGCAGGATTTTAGTCCTTCACGGCGTAGTGTGTTACCAATTGTTTTCCTGGTGACTATGGTCCCAGCTGCCTTGAGATCATTGACAAGATCCTCCCGTGTAGTTCTGGGCTGATTCCTCACCGTTCTCATGATCATTGCAACTCCACGAGGTGAGATCTTGCATGGAGCCCCAGGCCGAGGGAGATTGACAGTTCTTTTGTGTTTCCTCCATTTGCGAATAATCGCACCAACTGTTGTCACCTTCTCACCAAGCTGCTTGGCAATGGTCTTGTAGCCCATTCCAGCCTTATGTAGGTCTACAATCTTGTCCCTGACATCCTTGGAGAGCTCTTTGGTATTGGCCATGGTGGAGAATTTGGAATCTGATTGATTGATTGCTTCTGTGGACAGGTGTCTTTTATCCAGGTAACAAGCTGAGATTAGGAGCACTCCCTTTAAGAGTGTGCTCCTAATCTCAGCTCGTTACCTGTATAAAAGACACCTGAGAGCCAGAAATCTTTCTGATTGAGATGGGGTCAAATACCTATTTCCCTCATTAAAATGCAAATCAATTTATAATATTGTTGACATGCGTTTTTCTGGATTTTCTTGTTGTTATTCTGTCTCTCACTGTTCAAATAAACCTACCATTAAAATTATAGAATGATCATATCTTTGTCAGTGGGCAAACGTACAAAATCAGCAGGGATCAAATACTTTTTTCCCTCACTGTAGTATGTACAACAGGACAATTTAACGTGTGCTGTTAGTAAAAATGGAAGGAACCGGAAAGAGAGGAAGACCTCACTGAGAATGGCTTAACGACGACAGTGGAGATTGGTGCCAGAAAGATGTTGCACTACTTGAGAACATTGGCACAAGACAGAGGAAAGTGGAAACAAATTAAGCAGTGTGCAGTGAACACCTAAGGGCTACCTGCCCATGGATCGTGATGATGATGAGACTCAGTGTGAGCACTGCAGCACAAGCGACTCTCGACGCCGAGGGCGCCGAGGTGGCCACCTACCCGAGTAGCGTGGTGGAGCGCAGCGCAGCCCTCCAACCGGCGCGGCCGGCGTCTTCCTCGGTACGAGCCTGCGCCAATGTGCCGGCGCGGTGCGGCCCGGCGACAGGGCGGCTGTGCCGCTTGCGCCCGCCGAGCCCCCTTGGCGGTCGGCGACGACGTCCCGCGGGCCCACGCTCTTCTGGTGATCGGCGGTCCCCCGGGCTCCGCGCTTTTGTTCGGTGGGTTTTGTTCCGCTCGCATCCCTCAAGTCGTTATTCGCCAAACATCTTATCTTGCGCAGCGGGAGGGCGGCTTTGCGCTGGCGAGAGTCCAGAGCTTTCATCGCGGCTGCCGAAGACGGCTCGCTGCGGACGTCCGCCGCGGGCAGCGTTTGTGTTTGAACGCTGTCGGCGTTGTCTCGGGGCGAGTCCGTGGTGCCCGTGCTGGAGGCCCGGAGCCCGTCCGCGCACAGTTGCGTCGCGTCATCTTCAGGCGACGACGTCTTAATTTTCGTTCCTTCTTGATGAGGTGGATCTTTACACCGCGCCCTCGCTCGCAGCTTCCTTCTCGCACAAACGGCGGCCTTTGATTTTCTCGTTTTGCCGGCTTTATTCCCCACAGCGGAACCCCCCGTGGAAGGAACTCTGGCATGGGCGTCGTCCTCAGGAGCAGGAGGCGGTTCCGGGGTTTGTTCGCTTGGCACCTCGTCGACCGGTCGTCGTCGTCGTCGCATCTCGCCGGCCCGTCCCGTTTCTTTGCGATGCACCGAACGTCTTTCTGCCATTGTCCAAAGGAGTCCGAGTCCATCATTCGCGTTCGCCGGGCGTGGTTTGACTTTTTTGAACGTCTAACATATTTACATTTAGTTCACAGTTTTTTAAAGACTGCACGCAAATACTTGCAAAGTGTTGGGCCTGGAATAACACAGCAATAGGGTCAGCAAAGTGGATGATGTTCAGCACACAACATAAGCAACGCCGTAATGCTGCAGCTACAACATTATCACACGTAGGCATCAAGATTTTCTAACAAATGCATTCACTCCAGTTACTCAGCCAATCATCCCTCTGGGATCAATAAAATGAGTAGCACTTTGTAGACAATTCATCCCGTGGAATTTGTACCACTTGCCTCAGGGCTGAGGACAGAATACGAGCACCGTCTGAATGCTCACGTGAGCAGCGAATCCCTTGGGATTTTTTTGACTGCGTAAGCAAAACATTGCAACGCCGCGCAGCATTTAGCAACGCGTAAATTATCGGAAAACTTTTTTTTCTCGCGATCGATTCAACGACACGAAGTCGGTCGGTTATAAAGGCGGACGCAGTTGCAGAGTGCGACGGCGACTGCACGCTGCCAGGTTCACAGTATGATCATACCTACTCGCCACTGCTCCACTGTCACGAACTGCAGCAACAAAAAACTCCACTGTCACCAACATGTCGCGTCGCGTGCTCTCGGCGGAGCGAGAAGCTGACGCTGGCTGGCCGATGGCGCTGCACGCTTCAAGGGGAATTCCCCTTTCTCGTTTTCTTTCTCCGTCGTCTCCCTCACAGTTCCGCTGGGCCGACTCTGGGCGGAGTCTGCTGGCTGGGCAGTTCACCCCCCCCCCCCCCCCCCCCCACTGCTGAACAATGCCGAATGATCACCCTCTCGTTTTGTTAATGCTTTGCCTGGTAGGATGGGGATGGTTTAGTTTTGTGTTCGGGTGATTTGTTTACTTTTTCTTGTACTTTGCATTCCTATCGTGATTTTTTACTGTTTGTTGTTGGAACGTTCTTACCCCGTGTCCCTACTGGACATTTGTGAAAAAGAGCTTCGTAGCTCATCGGATTCCTCCAGCAGTATAAATATTCTGATTCTGATTGCATCCGAACTGCAGCAGAGCTTGCAAGCAAAGTAGCATTGAGCCTGGAGAGGGCTCGGAGATAGGGCAGTGGTTGTGGGTGACCCCCCCCTACCCCTTTCCTTTTGAGACAACGGAAATTTGTATTTTATTTATATTTACCAGATAAAAAACGTTGCGTTTTATTTATGCATTATCATTATTGTAGGGCCCTATTTAAAAAGGTTGACATTCAGAACCGCGATGGCATGCGAGAGAGCTGACTGTGAAGTCCTCTCGATCCACGAGGTGTCGACGCTCTCGATGGTGTTGGTGGGGAATTCAGGAGTGCGACTCCTGGGGAGATGCAGGTGTTTATAACAACGCCGCACAGTTATCATTTCAGCACTCTGGGAGTATGTCGTTATGATTGCATTAAAGTTATTTTTAATGGCGCTCACGGTCGACTCCTTTAGACAAACATCTCAGACAACCGCAGACGCACTCTTACCGGTATCGTCTACACTCAAACTCATCACTTTCGTCTGCCTTTTGTCACCAGACGCGCTTTCCTCTCTCATTGAACGCTTGTGAACCACGATTAACCAGCAAGTATGTACTGTATGAAGTAAAAGAAACCGCACAATACGGTAACGAGTTCAGAGCGGGATTACTGCAAGACTTGAGGACTGACAAGCGGGCAGCCGAGGTGGCGTGCATAATTTTCGCATCTTCAAATCTTATCTTAAATCATCTTATCTTATACTTACAAGAAGTAGTCGGTTTTCCCGGGGGGGAAAAATATTTTAAAATTGTATTCTCTTGAAAAATATAACATACGCAAATATTGTACAAAAAATGTTATGTTTTGAGGAGAATACAATATAAACTGTAATGCTAAAAACGAAATGCAACTGTGACCATAAAACCCAAACGATGGACCAGATAATAAAACACTGTGGTCTGCGTCTCTTCAATGGAGGAATAACAGGACGATATGAGCTCTCTCCTGAAGCCCTTTCGTTGCTAGCAGAACTCAACATTGATATTTATAGCTCCCCAACATAGTGCCAAACGTAAGTAGAAGACTAAAACATATATAACTGCACTTTATTTCATTTCATACTTATTTAGTGCCTTTAACACGACACAAAACTGCCCCTTACGCCCAGCATGCCGACGAAGGGGAGACCCCCCCCCCCCATCATGATCATCGTGATGTTCCAGGATGATCGTAGATCCGCGGGTCGTGTGGCCCAGATAAAGAGCAGCCCCACGCGCGCGTCGGAGCAATCCACCTGCCGACGACGCGAGAACAACGTCGTGCGGGCGGCGCCACAAACAACCACCGGCAGAGACACAGATCGCTGAGAGAACACCCGGCAATTACTACAGGCAAGGGCGCCGTAAAGGGGTGGAAGGTTAGGACGATTCTAAGGGCCCAGGCTGATTTAGGGCCCAGAAGAGCAGACCCCCTTTTTTTTTCTTATTTCTTTTCTATGTTTTATACATACATTAAATGTGCTAGGGCCCCTCATGCACTAAATGTGTATTTTGTCCGTTTTGACCATAGATTTAATATTTAAAAAAACAAATAATGTATTTACTGTTTCAGTCACACCCCTCCCCCTCACAATGGTTCATTCCACCTGCGCTGTCCGAGGTACGATCGCTAGTGTAGCGTCTCTTGCTTATTGCACTTGCTATGATGCAGTGCAGACAGTGACACACGCAGGCATGTCACATCAAAAGTCAGGGCATCAAAAACGGAAAGAAAAGAAGGAAAGAGAAGACAGGGAACGCCGAAGTCGACAGTATGTCACACAGTTTTTAAAAAAGAAAGGTAGCTTGCCCTATTCCTGTATTCCAAAACTTTCAGTTACTTATTTTTGTTGCTACATGACCTGCTTTTATATAGTTAGCTTAGTAAAATAATTACTGAATTATGATTTACATCCAACAATAATAACATCTCTGCTGTCTCCGGGGTTATCATGTCTCGTAGACACAGATTCAGCGGCTGCTGCACAGCCACGTCCTCCTTCCCCCACATCCCCCGTCCCCGTCTCAGCCGAACAAGGTAAGCCTGAGCGCGAAACTTCACGAAGATTGAAGCCTCTAAACACGTCTTATCTACTGTGTTCGCCACATGATGAGAACTTTACAAAACAAAAAGTAATCTACACGCTTCAAAAATTACAAAATCAGTTTGCCGTGTGTGCGTCGTGTGTTCTGTGAAGTGACAGTGCTGCTGCTACGATCGATGCTGTCAAACTTGACGTTCTTAATGTGAATAAAATGCCCCAGAAAAAATATATAAAATTGAATAAAACATGTGTCTGTAGTAACCATTGGCTATAAGGAGTTTACAAAATAGATATTTTAATATTTTATATTAAGAAAACTAAATAGGCCAATAAAAGTAATATGCTTATTATTACGTGTGTGTGTGTTTGACTTATACAGATGCAGAGTCAGCTTTATTGTCTGCACCTCGTTCTCCTACTAATGACCCAGTCTTCTCAGTGTCAGGTAAGGTGAACATGGTCAGCTACCAAGGTAGTAAAAAAACTAATTAAGTTTTGGATTGTCTAATTTTTTTTCTTGTGTTGTATAGTTATATGTTTCATATAATATTATTCAACAATGCAGTTAAGAAAATATTAATTCTAAGCTGTAACTTGTTGTTGACTGGGGGACAAAAATGATTTTGCTATCCTAACCCCACAGAAACAAGAGAGAGACAGAGAGTTTTGCCAGGAAAGAGTGTGGAAGTTGAGGAAGCGGTGAGAATAGTGGAATATGAGAGCACAGAGGGAGCCCTAAGTGTAAAGGAAGATAACAGAAGAGAGGAAGATGAGAGAACAGAGGAAGCCATGAGAGCAGACTCAGAGGAAGATGAGAGAACAGGGGAAGCCATGAGAGCAGACTCAGAGGAAGATGACAGAACAGGGGAAGCAATGAGAGCAGACTCAGAGGAAGATGAAGAAGAGACTGTTGTGTCAAAAGATCCTGGTTTGTGGCCAGCAAAAATTAGCAATGCAGACAGAGAAAAAATTGTGGAAAAAATAGCTTCTTCTAAAGATAAAGAACAAGAAATGCCACATGATTCAAAAGGTAAAGCCTTCCCCGAATACCTCAAGTACACAAAGTCAGGAAATTGCAGGGAAAAGATTAAGAGAGACTGGGTCATTTACAGCCAAAGCACAAATGCACTATTTTGTATTCCTTGTGTATTATTTGGTCATGAGCTAAAGAAACCTTGTATGAGCGCACTAAGCAGTCAACATGGTTATAAAATCAAAGACATAACATGGCGTCGAATGTATGATAAATTCCCTAACCACGAAAGCAGCAAAGCACACAGGGAGTGCTACTTAAAATGGAAAACCTTACAACAGTCTGTAATGGCAGCTGTCCCTGGGGGAATAGACAGCAAGCTGAAGAAGCTCATACAAACAGAAATAGACAAAAATAGAGCTGTTCTGAAGAGGATACTAGATGTAACCTTGTTCTTGGCCTCTCAAAATTTACCCTTTAGGGGTAAAACAAAAGACTTGGGGGACATTAATAATGGCAACTTCTTGGGTACCCTTGAGCTCCTGTCCCATTATGACCCACTACTCAACGAACATCTACAAAAAGTCAGAGACAAAAAAAACAGGAACAAGATTGACACACTATTTAAGCTCAGATATTCAGAACAAATTTATGGAGTTATGTGGAAAACGAGTGTTAAGTAGTATTCTTAAGGAAAGGGAGGAATCAGTCTATTATTCAGTCATTTGCGATGCTACTCCTGATATTTCACATACAGAGCAAAATATATTACTCTTACGATATGTAGGTTTTGATCAAGAAAACAAGAAATGGGAGGTTGTTGAAAGGTTTTTGGAGTTTAAAGATTTTCACAAAAAAACAGGAAGTGAGATTGCAGACATGATTGTAAATGTGCTTAACAGTCATGGCATAGATCTGAATGACTGCAGGGGCCAAGGCTATGATAATGGGGAAAACATGTCTGGAAAAATCAAGGGGTTTCAAGCCCAATTATTAAAAAAAAATAAGCTGGCTACTTTTTCCCCTTGTGCGTCTCATACTCTGAACCTTGTTGGTGTGCATGCAGCTCAATCAAGTCCAGAGGTTACCAACTTTTTTGGCTTTGTCAATCGCCTTTATGCACTTGTTAGTGCCAGCCCAGAGCGATAGGCCATCTATAAGGCAAAAACGGGTTGCACTTTACATCGTCTGTCAGACACTCGGTGGAGTGCAAGGGTTAAGGCTATTCAACCTATAGCCAAGCACCTGCCCAGTGTCCTAGAAGCTCTTGATGCCATCCTCTCAACCTGCAGTCTGACACCAGAGGCTCGGTCTGAAGCCAGCGGCCTAAAAAAGTATTTTGAAACTTTTGATACTGTTTTTCTGTTGACTGTTTGGGTCAAAGTTCTGCAAGCCATTGACAAAAGGAATATTATTCTCCAGTCAGGGAAATTAACTCTTGAGACAGAGGCAGAAAATATCAGAGCATTGCAGAAGGAGATGCAACACCTGAGGGATGAATGGGAGAGTTTATTTTCTGAAGCATCACTTGTTGCCCAACAGATGAGCATTAACCCTCTGTTCAGGTCAGGATTCAGCCGCCAGAGGAAAAGAAAACGGTTTCACGATGAGACAGAGGTAGAGGGAGCAAGGGAGCACAGTGCAGACACCATATTCAGAAACACTGTGTTTCTTCCCATGATGGACCACATAATCAATGACTTAAGTACCAGGTTTGCCACAACAGCTGAGATCTTGGATCAGTTTTCTGTAGTTGTAAAAATGGGTCAGTTACGTGATGATCAAATCCATTCTGTATGCCAGCCATTGATTTCAAAATACAACACTGATCTGACTTGTGAATTTGTAGATGAAGTCAGACACCTCAACTCTGTATATAGGGCCACTTTCCCAGGGTGTCTGTCACCAATTTATCTGCTCAACAGCATTTACAAGATGCAGCTGCAGAGCATTTTTGGGCAGGTCTGCATAGTTTTGCGAATATTTTGCACACTGCCTGTGACCGTTGCTGGTGGCGAGAGAGCATTCAGTAAGCTGAAACTGATAAAAAATTATCTGAGGTCTGCTATGTTGCAGGATAGACTTTGTCACCTTGCCATACTATCCATTGAAAGCAAACTAGCAAGAAAGCTGAACTTTGATGATTTGATACGTGATTTTGCCAGCAGAAAGGCACGCCGCTGGGCCATTATAAAGTGATGTTGAACATAACTTTGTTAGACCTGGATAACAAACAGTTGATGTCTGGTTCAGTACTTGTTTAGTCCTGGACTGGTTTAGGCCTGGCATTACTCCTGGTGTGTCTTCATTTTGAGCCCTTTTGGCCTAGCTAGTTTTATTCCTGGACTGATTTAATTATGGGTTAGTTCTAGCTGATGTTTCCTGATTGAGCAGTTTGACCCAGCTAAAGCTTGTTCATGTAAAGTATATGTCAATATGTGTACATTATGTTCTGTTGTGCTTGCAATTGCAATTGAGATAATAAATGTTCTCCCTTTTATGTAAACAAGTACATATTTCTATATTTTTTTCTTGTTTTTGTAGGCTTTGTACTCATCTTTAGACATTTTAACTATGCAATGTGCTAAGTATAGTTTTTAAAGTATACTGGGCATGTTTATTGGGTTAAATTTTACCTGTAAAAAATGTAGGGGGCCCAGAAATGTTGGTTTCCATAGGGCCCAGAATTTCTGGCGGCACCCCTAAGGTCTGTCAGAAGCGCTGGGGCAGGCAAGAGACTCGGGGATGGGGCAGCGAGATGTGGGAGCAAGGAAGCCGCGCCGCATGAGCGTTACCACCAGGCCGCCGAGACGGTGCCCGACGGGAAGGAAGCGCCGTGCAGGCGGCTCAGGATGGCGTGGTATGGGCGCGGCTCAGCGAGCACCCTCCTGCAGCTGAGCCGCCCCCCAGTAGGTGTGGGGTCAAGCAGTACACGTGGGAGGGGAGCGGCTCCCCCAACCAAAGTGAATGCCTATCCAAAGTAATAAAACACAAAATAGGGCCTCTCCAAAATAATCAAACAAATGAAACTAAATAATTGTGGATAACAAAACGAAAAAGAGGGAAAAGGAGAATAAGCTGGGGATTAATGGATGGACAGGGGAGGGAGCGGATGGCTGCTGCTGCTGGCATTGCTCCACCCCCATATAAGAGCCTCTGTAAACAATGTTCTGTCCCGTAGCCAGATAACATCTTGAAGGTGCTGTTGCATGATTGGGTACACTTTTCCTCCAGTTCCTCTTCTGAAGTGGAAATGATGCCTTTAGACACGGTGATACGTCCATATGTGCCTTCAGCAAGAATACTGCCACTTCCAATATCAAGAAGAGCTGCAGCAAAGTTTCCTGCCTCTTGGTCTCCATGGAGATACATTTATAGTTAGCTTAAGTTTCATCACGTGTCCCCAGAGGAATGATGAATTGATGCAGGCTTTTAACTAATTAGCTTTGGTTCTTCGAATTACTACACGTAAGGTCTGTCAGAATTCAGCCATGAGAAAACTACACCACCCATAATCCTGGAATTGTCCCGAAGGTCCTGCAAAGTTGTGTTGATAGCCTAAAATACTCTCTTGTGGGACATGGAGCATTCATCCCACAATATTAATTTACAATTTACTATGACTTGTGCAAGGGCAGTCCCGTTTGACGTATTACAAACAGGGGATTATTGTCGGGACAGATCCAATGGAAGCTTGAATGCGCAATGGGTAGTTCTTCCTCCAGTAAGCAGAGTTGCTGCAATGCCTGATGATGCCACAGGCAGAGCAATGTTCTCCCTTTGGCAAACCTTAGCCAGGAGCAGATTGAGAACAAATGTCTTCCTAGTACCACCAGGTGCATCAATGAAAAATATGGCTCCATTTTTAGACTAAATGTCTTCCAGGAATTTCGTGTAGGCTTCTCCCTGTGCATCCATCAGCTTTGGTTAATTTTCCTCAATAGAGTTGGTTGTCCCTGGAGGGTGTTGGTAGTCCGATACTTTTTTTTTCCAACAATGGAGTGAAGTTTGTCTGCAATGAGGATGAGTGGCCTGGTTAAAGATGACATCAGAAAAGTTCACCTCGAGGTTGGGATTTGCTTGCTGAGCTCTGTGAAGGATGTCCTCACTCATGCCATCCTTGTGTTTTCCCAGAGTCCCATGGGGTTAGATGGGCAGCAAACTTGATGAATAATGCAGAAGAGCAATCTCAGTTGAGAAAGGGACTGACTATCAAAAGCTTATGTCATGGCTTTATCAAGATACTGATCATCTTCAAAAATTCCATGAAGATTGCAAGCTTTCCTGTATGTCTGACAGACAACTCCTTCCACTGTTCTTAGGTCTTGGAAAGATGTTGGCCCTTTGGCAACATGGAGAAGCATTTGCAGAAAGTAGCACTCCTGACTGTTGGGATAAATTATTTAGACTCTTCCCAAGGCATCAGATACACCATCACCAGCACGTCGTTTTCATTGTTTTTGAGCAGTTCATGTATAGTAGGAGGGAACTTTATGATAGAGTAGTTTGGGAGCAAATGGGTCACTGGCACAAAACAAAAAACGCAATAAGGATTGTATCTTGGGGAGCCAAGGCCTGTTCTTGGGCATTTCCTTCGGCGAAGTAGAAGCATTGCCCATTTTCGAGATGAACTGCCAAATATACAACTGTCGGGGAATGCTCATGGATGAGAAATCCAATAATTATTAAAATGGCCTCATTGCTGCTGATGTATTTTCCTTTGACAAAATTCTGAACTTCTTCCACACTTTCTCCCTCTTTTGTAAGGCAAACACAGCCATATCAGATCCTTTGTTGATGTATTTGTAAACATATTTGATGGCTTACACTAAAGAGCAGATTTCCAAATCAATGTGGGCCTTAAAGATAATGCACAGAAGAGGGCAGTAGAGAATGATCCACTGGTTGTCAACCTTTATTTCAGAGTTAGTGCCAGGTCTGAGTGTTGTTTCAAATCCACCATCTTCAGTTTTTCTGCGACGACATAGAGGATAATCATCATGCCCTGCCTGAATTTCAAGACATGTCTTGGATACTTCTTGGTGCACTTGTGGTCTTGCATACAAGTTGAATTTGGATTGAGCTCTCCAAATGGGCCATGGACCATTTGCTTGCAGACTACGTAAAATAGGGCAGGGTCTTTCTTGAGGCCAGGTAGCTCAGCACTGATAAATGTATCAATATCACTTGCATTACTTTTTTCTTTCAACCATAGCAATATGTGGGCATGAGGAAGACCACGTTTTTGCCACTCAATGGTGTGCAAGTTACATCTTGTCTTCCCAAAGACGCTGCCTTCCTTTGTCATAATAAGCCTCGTGAGTTCATCAACTTTTATTTTAAACACTCTTGCAATGATGTCTCTCTTTTAGCTTTGAGTTTTGATAAAGCTCAACCCGGATCTCCTTACATTTTGGATTGCAAGTGAAGGTGATAAAGAGATTGGGCCTGCCATATTGCCTGATATAGGTCATTGCATCTCGAGTTCCCTCATGCATGCATGTATGTTAGTCCACCTGTGAAGGATGAGGGAAAAATAATTAATCTCCCCACATTCTGAGCGTTTGCATCTCCGTCAGCATTGATAGCATCCCTGCGATGAACATACTGTTTTACATGCAGGCGTTTTTGATTGAGTTTAATGTAAAGAAGGCACTCACTCAATTTGTAATTTTGTAAAGAAGGCACTCACTCAATTTTGGCATACTCATCCACAACATACTGGTGAAATAGGTTGGCGCACCTTAATATGTAGTTTCCTCCTTCTCTGTCCATGGCTATAAATCCTTAGAGGAGACGGTTTTGTTAGGATGATTTTGGCCTGTTGCTTTCATAATTTGAGGAATCTGTAAGTGGTACCCATCTTGACCTTGCCACAGTATCACGGGGTATTGTAGGGCCTCATATGCTATGTTTATATCAGGAATCGTTTCGTGGTGGTGTCTTGGTATCGAAGCACAATGTCTCTCTTACCATGTTCTTCACCCACTATAAGAACAGCAACCTCACCACAAATTGCAGCATTGAACCTCCGTGCATGGTCCCCCCTTGGGACCTTGGATGCACTGATTACAACCTGATAATCATTGGAGGTGACTTGTTGAGTTGCATGTTTGAAACTTGTAATCAATCAATTGTGTTGGTGGAACATCCGTTGGAGGGAGATGACAATTTCTAGTCTGGCACCAGGAAGATTGCTGCATCGCTGGTTGCCTTGCTGACCTTCATCTCTCATCAAGTATATCTGAATAAACTTGTGCTCTTCGCCAAGCAGTGTTTGAATGGATCCGATTAGATGAAAATTTTGGCCTTGAACTTTGAATGTGGGCATAAATCCTAGCTCCACTATCTCCTTTGTTGCACCAAAATAAGTCATTTGAAAGCAAGAACTGTCAGAAAATGTTTAGACCCAGGGGTGTGGCCAGATACCAATGATTTCAGTCGCCCAGGGGGGGTCTGCACAAGGCAGAGTTTGACTTTTCCATCACTCTAGCACATTCCCTTGGATTTTACTTTCCACTTTTTCAGCACCACACTGTTTTATACATATATGCCTTTTCCAAAAATGTATATTAAGAGTGATATTGCCTATGTCTTAATGTAATAGTTATTTTTTCCATATGTATGAATTTAGCGCGTTCTAAAATCAATGCGGTAAAGGAGGCCTGTGAACTCCTCCCTCGAGACAACAAAGGCCCAAGGAGCACCCCCCCCCCCCCCCCCCCCGCTGCCTCGCCCCACACAAAAAAATACATCTGGAGGTCAATTATTCACAAGCTTTGGCTTTGTAAAGTTGGATTGACCACCACCTCATAGGAATATTTTCAAACATCATGGTATTGAACGTTAACTTGATATAATGTATTGTTACATAATGATGTAGCTCAAGAGGTTTTGCAAACGACGAGTTGCATGTTTTATTAACACCCACCTATCTATGCATAAGTGCCATGCGATCTTGGTTAGGCATATAGACTTGATAACGAATTATGGAAGTTTTGTATTGAAGTATTTAAGCAAAGGATCATTCAGAGGATATACACTACGAATTAGGTCCATTCTCCACGACCACAATAATATGTATTCCAGGGGTATAACCAGAGCCTGTCCAACCGCCTCTGTCTTCCCAGTGGGTGTCAGTACATGCTACCGCAGGAATCTATTTATAAGCATGAGCCGACCGAAAGAGGAGGGAAGGCCGTTTCACAATAAACAAGGCTACAGACACACTACACTTAGGGCCAATGAAGAACATCTGCGCTTTTGTGTGAAGAAATTCAAAAGGCCAACAGCTGACCCAAGGAAGCAAAAGTCTGGCACATATCGGATATTAGGAGGAAGCCAAACCACACAAACTAATCTTGCAAAGGCAAACTCCGGGGGGCACCCGTAACCAGCCAAGTGTCAAGAGCTTTTCTCTGGGGTATGGTCCTCAAAATCAACCATAAGTGTCGAGTCTTGCAGAGGCAAAAGCTCTGTGTTGCTAAGTGTTGAGTTCTGCGCTGACAGACTCTGAGTATCGCTTGAAAGTTTTATTATACATTTTCCTCATGTTTGGAGTCGCTTACAGAGTCAAGGACTGCGAGACGTTGCACTGTACTAAGTTATAAGAATTGTGAGAGGTTAAGAGGTGTGCGAAGGCATTTTCATATAATACTGTGATCAGCTAAGACGGGTGAGAAGTTAAGTGGAGATTGGAGTTATCCGCTCATATCGAGAATGCATTAAATGTTGTCCAAGCTATAGGCTGGAATAGTTCTGTTGTCCAAGTGACTGATATTCTGATGATAAGAGTTTTGATTAATTTTAGAGAGTGAGCGAGGAGCAGCGATGAGCGGTGCACAGCAGGAGCGCTCCCGAGGGAGGGGGCACCAAGGCTGCTTGAGCGAAGCAAGCTGCTGTTGACAAGGAATGAGGAGCAATGTGGCCACAGACCATTCCGACTGCTGATCGAGCCTGGCGTGCAGAGAACCTGCGAACGTGCAGTGCAGCAGCATACGGCTAACAACGAGCGTGCTGACTCGGAAGCCCCGAGTGCCCTCCAGCGTGGGTCGAGCTTGATGCACAAAAAAACGTGCCTGGTGTCAATGGGGGTGATGCGCTGCCACCTAGCAGACGAGCTGCGAGTGCTACCTGGCGACGTGGCCACAGTGCACCCCTCTGCAGACTGAGTATGACCCATCGACCCCTTGCCAGCGGTGAGCCATCAGCGTGCCGACTCGACAGCCACTCCACTTGTGGACGGAGCCGGACGGACACGCAGCCCGAGTGGATCACACGCCGTGTACCGACACACGCCCGCCGACCCAACGCGCCCTGCTGGGGTCCTGAGGTATTTTCGCTACAATGGAACACGGATATGGCAAGCCTCCCACAGATCCCGGGACCGCAGAGTCACAGTTGGTAACACGATCCATGTGCAGAGATCGTACGTGGATGAACTCAAACCATACTACCCGCTATCATTATTGGACCTCGTGGTGGCTGCCCCTCTAACATACACACACGACGCGCATAGTCGGTAGGAATAAGTTTGTTCCGCGGTGTTTTGTTTCGCATAGGGTTGCCATTCCAAGGTGATGGATGTGTTAATTATTAATCGGTCGTTAAGAAACATTGTTCTGTCCCTTAAGTTGCATGAATACGGTCGTTAGAAGTATTTTAGTATAATCTAGATTTGAAGCTTTCGTGACTGCAGGAATCCATACTCTTTGGTTCTTTCGGTAAAGTCACGTAGGTATATTATTTCAAAGACAGTGCAATACTGTCAGAGCATGTTTTTTTTAATATTCGTAGATATATATTATTTTATACCTACATGACTTTACCGAAAGAACCAAAGAGTATAGTGTTTTAGTAATTTGTTTCTTTTAATCGCATTATCTTGCCAATTAATTCATTGATGTCCTACTAGCCATTTTGGCGTCCTCTGGTCTAACACTGTTTGAGACCAGGCTCTAAATAAAGCTGTCTCTGGTATGGACCCATCAGTTTCAAAGACAATGCATATACTGTCAGAGCATGTTTTTTTTGTTTGCATGTTCACCACAAGTATATGTGGTTAATGCAGACATGATTCCTTGCAAAGGTTTCAGTTTGGTGTTTTAACATCTTAACACCTCAGTTTAACACGTAGGCTTTCGCGACCAATATTATTCATAATAAAGGTTTTTGGGTTAGATCGCGTTTATTTATAAATGTGTCGTAACCCTCCACCACCCGACACGGCCAATCAGCAAAAAAAAAGTGTCACGTTGACAAAAGACAAATAATTCACTACTTCAGCCCACCGGTGTGTTGAAGAGTTAATCCACATTTACAGTTTGAGTACGACGTTTCGCTGGTAAATACATCCAGCATCATCAAGCAATTCGCCAGAATGGTAAAGCCCTCGCTTGCTCCCGGTTTTTATATAGAGCAGCAGGGTGACGTCATCACTTAACTCATATCAGGTGCAGTGATTAGAGGCGGAGGGGGTATTGTAATTATATAATCGATTAGTAATCAGTCATTGGTTATGATTAGTAATGAGTTGTAGATTAGTAATTCTTTAAATGTAATGTGTATTATTTAATAATACGCTTCCAGGCCGCACTAAGCCGGTAGCTGTCAGAGCGATTAAAGTTATTCTTGTTCCTCTCAATTTCAATGGATTCTCTAATTAGTCTTTGCCAGTAATAATTCGTTTTACACACCACTGCAACATTGTCAAAATCAATTGAGTGTCCTTGTTGACAGGCATGTTCTGCCACTGCCGACAGTTGTGTTTGAGATAATTTAATATTTCTCTGATGTTCTTTTAGTCTTACGCTGATGTTACGTCCCGTCTGCCCAATGTAGCAGCTGCCACATGAACAATTAATCCGATATACACCTTCTGTTGATAGTTTAGGTAATGCATCTTTAGTGCAAGATACTAGTTTTTGAATTTTGTGTAGTGCACCAAATCTTACTGTAATGTTTTGCTTTTGCAGAACACGGGCTAATTTGTCAGTTACTCCTGAGATATATGGAATTTTTATTGTTTTAACAATCTGGTCGCTTTCAGTAGTATTGCTTTGCGATCGTGATTTGGCATTCAGTGCTCTGTTAATTTGAGCATTATTGTAGCCATTCTGTCGTAGTGCGTCTTTAACGTGTTTAATCTCTCCCACTAGACTCTCACCATCTGACACTGTTTTCGCCCGATGTACGAGCGTCTTGATAAGAGAGGATTTTTGAGCTGGATGATGATGTGATTCTGCATTCAGATAGGCATCAGTGTGCGTTTGCTTTCTGTAAACGCTGTGTGTTATTTTACCGTTTAGGCCATGTCCAAGCAAAATATCTAGGAATGGGAGTGTGTTATTCACCTCCATTTCCATGGTGAACTGGATGGCTGGGTTTTGTGCATTGAGATGATTTAGAAAATCATTAAGTGTATCTTTACCATGTGGCCAGACAACCAAAGTGTCATCCACATACCTAAACCAAAAGGATGGTTTTAATGTGCTCGAGGCAAGTGCTCTTATTTCAAAGTTTTCCATGTACAAATTTGCTATAGCAGGGGATAAAGGAGAACCCATTGCTGCTCCTTCCTTTTGTTTAAAGAAATCCCCTCTCCAGAAAACAGTGTCAGATGGTGAGAGTCTAGTGAGAGAGATTAAACACGTTAAAGACGCACTACGACAGAATGGCTACAATAATGCTCAAATTAACAGAGCACTAAATGCCAAATCACGATCGCAAAGCAATACTACTAAAAGCGACCAGATTGTTAAAACAATAAAAATTCCATATATCTCAGGAGTAACTGACAAATTAGCCCGTGTTCTGCAAAAGCAAAACATTACAGTAAGATTTGGTACAGTACACAAAATTCAAAAACTAGTATCTTGCACTAAAGATGCATTACCTAAACTATCAACAGAAGGTGTATATCGGATTAATTGTTCATGTGGCAGCTGCTACATTGGGCAGACGGGACGTAACATCAGCGTAAGACTAAAAGAACATCAGAGAAATATTAAATTATCTCAAACACAACTGTCGGCAGTGGCAGAACATGCTTATCAACAAGGACACTCAATTGATTTTGACAATGTTGCAGTGGTGTGTAAAACGAATTATTACTGGCAAAGACTAATTAGAGAATCCATTGAAATTGAGAGGAACAAGAATAACTTTAATCGCTCTGACAGCTACCGGCTTAGTGCGGCCTGGAAGCGTATTATTAAATAATACACATTACATTTAAAGAATTACTAATCTACAACTCATTACTAATCATAACCAATGACTGATTACTAATCGATTATATAATTACAATACCCCCCCCTCCGCCTCTAATCACTGCACCTGATATGAGTTAAGTGATGACGTCACCCTGCTGCTCTATATAAAAACCGGGAGCAAGCGAGGGCTTTACCATTCTGGCGAATTGCTTGATGATGCTGGATGTATTTACCAGCGAAACGTCGTACTCAAACTGTAAATGTGGATTAACTCTTCAACACACCGGTGGGCTGAAGTAGTGAATTATTTGTCTTTTGTCAACGTGACACTTTTTTTTTTGCTGATTGGCCGTGTCGGGTGGTGGAGGGTTACGACACATTTATAAATAAACGCGATCTAACCCAAAAACCTTTATTATGAATCTTAACACCTGTTTTATTGCCAGAAAAGGGAAAACCCTATTCTCATGATATGTATCTACTAAAACGAATCTATATGCTCGCATTAATGCTATTGTTTTGACATATTTACTTTAATCGTGTAATCTTACCCATTAATTCGTTGATGCCCTTTTGCCATTGGGCACACATTTCTATACCATGTTTCCGTATGAATATTGCCATTTGTAGGGGTTTTCCTATCATTGTGTATTGTCGCGTTAACATGAGAAATTAGGCTATTGTTCTATTGCCCTGTTTAACAACGTAACCATACGACTTGACCATCGATGTTTTTATTTGTACGGATCGATGAGCACGATATTTGCATGAGTACTACATTTTGATTTAAAGCTTTTGTGACTGCAGGGATTCATATTCTTGGTTCTTTCGGTAAAGTCACGTAGAAGGGAAACAATAAAATAATAAAAATATAAAATAAAATTCTCACGACGTTTCGACTGCAACACAAGCAATCATCATCAGGTGTGAAAACCACATGAAAATTTGAAAAAAGTGGCGGTTATTTTTAACGTTGCGGGGATCACAAAAAAGATCTCCAAAATCTTGAATAAACACAAGATCCAGGTCCGATTAAACACATTACATAAAATCCGTGATCTGGTTCCGTCTGTAAAAGATGTGATTCCGGACATACAGTACCCTGGCGTCTACAAACTAAGTTGCCTCTGTGGTAGTAGTTACATTGGAGAAACCAAACGACATGTCTCGGACCGTATTCGTGAACACAAAGCAGACCTGAAACACGGTAGGACCAACACCTCGGCCGTGGCAGATCACTGTTATAATTCAGTAGGTTCACATGACATTGACTTCTCCAAGACAGAGGTTCTTTGCAAGCCATCTGGCTACCATGAGATATTCGTCCATGAGGCTATTCACATATACAAACACAGAGACAATTTCAACCGAGAAGATGGATTCTGGCTTAGCAATCATTGGAAGGATTTGATAAACCATTTCGGGTCTTAATTGATTGATCATGCTTAAGGTGGCTTTCAGACCGCATCCATTATTTTTAGTCTCCCCCCTCCTCTTTTCCGAACATAGATGGACTCGTCCATCTGAACAAACTGTCAAATCTCTCTCCGTGGTGCTACCGTTAAAAATAACCGCCACTTTTTTCAAATTTTCTTGTTGTGGTTTTCACACCTGATGATGATTGCTTGTGTTGCAGTCGAAACGTCGTGAGAATTTTATTGTTTTATATTTCTATTATTTTATTGTTTTCCTTCTACGTGACTTTACCGAAAGAACCAAGCATATGCATGAGTACTGTTGTGGTAATTTTGATGCTAAGAGTGTTTGCATATTAGAGTGTTTTTAGATATTAAAGTTGCTTAATACAGAAGAGTCTGAGTGGCTCCTTCCTAAGTTCATGGATAATTGTCTTAATTATAAGAACTGTATCCTGTGGCGAGAGCTGAATCCTGAGACCGGACATAATGACAATAAAATCATAATTAGTAAATGTTAAGGCAAGAATCAGTAAATGTGTAAGCGAGAATCATAATCTGTAAAGTTAAAGCGCTCACCCAAGCCCCGCTAGGGCTGGTACTACACCCCATAACCGGGCTGCCCATAATGACCACACATTATCCGCCGTGGCTTCGTAAGCCCGGCACCACACCGTGACAATCACAGTCACTACACATTAAATTTAATGCGATCTTGAGAGCAAGGATGAAGAAGTATCTCATCCACAGTTCAGTGTTATGTGTAGTGCTGTACATTTATGCTTCAGTATGGTGATTACACGATGTAACCTTATTTAACACAGTAGCTTATTCTCTAGTGTAGCTATTCAGTGCTAATGTAGGTGCCTGGTTCATCCAGGACCTATTGTTGAGTTCCTTGTTATCTAAGACAATGTTATGATGCTCCTTGTGTTCATTCATTGTATCGATATTGCAAGTATTAACAGATGCTGTATTTTGTGTTTTTTCCATTAGTTTTACCTCGTTCTATTCATTAAATAGTATGGAGTCGGATGTTCACCCTGGCTCTGAAGGTTTATTGAAT